TTAGTGTAAAATTACAGATTATACTTGTAAATAAATATTTAGCCACGTTTTCCAAATTGAAGAGAGCAAACTTTTTTCAAGAGCGAAAATAACGGTAAAATGTTTAATTGGTCTGAATCGAACTGAAGCTATTTCAGAGAGCTCTGTAATTTAGATAATTAACAGTATTTCTCTATACGAGTGCAGAGAATTTGCTAATTGACTAAATTAAGAGGCTGTCTGAAACGCCTACAAACTATGAAATAATCTAATCACACTGAAAAAGATCTAAAGATTCTGCAATGACAGCAAAAAAACAGTTGAATCTAAACTACAACCCACAAATCAAGCCTATCATTAGAGAAACCAAAAATGCTCCACATATTTCACTCAATAATACTCGCAATATGCAGTTTTTCACCACCCCTCTGCAAATGGCATGCAAACAGCAATCATGTTGGCGGCATTCGATGGCTGATGGAAGAGGAGTGTCAGCCTGAGTGGCAAGTTGTTTGTAGTCAGTGAACTGGTTAGTTCAATTAAGAGCGATTGGATCGTGCAATCTACAACTGACGCTGATCGTGATGATGACAATGATGTTGATAATGATGATGGTAATGGTGATTATGATTACGGTGCACCGCAAAATCGCTCAGTGACAATGCACAAAATGTTAGGTGCTTGCTGTGGAATGTGGCACATAATAAATACTGTGCGCTACATTGGCGGAAAAACTAGATGTTTCCTTACGCTACTGCAGAAGTCAGTGATAAGCGCATAACCGCAAAAGATTTGCGCTTAAATTACACTGATTTTTTTCCGCAACAGTTTATGACTATTGAACAAGTTCGAGATTTCTTGTGTGTGTGAGTATACGAACTAATAGTTATACGAGTATGTGGAGCACGATTGTGGATTTTGATTGGATATAAATTTTATCTGGCAATAAAAGTGTAGTTTTCTTTAACTTATGACAAACGTATAAGAGTATTTAATGGAGATTTCCAAAAAGAACTAAGAGGCTTGAAATATAGACTACTAATCTCTTAATTGTGTTGGGTAGTGAAGTTAATTACTTTTTAGTGGGTTTATTTATTGGTTAAGCTTAGAAGAAACAGTCGATTTTATAGCTCAAAAACTACTTAGATTAACTAAGGCAGCAGAGACATCAGAGAGCAAGAAAAACCTGATCACTTAGCTTCATACAGTCTAAACTATCCAAACAACAGACTTTTATACTCCGATGGACTTCTCTAATAGGTTTGAAGAACCAAAATGTATTTGTATGTGTGAATAGATATATAGTTTTATCAGAGCTTTTTAAAACTTCGTAAACTCATTAAGCCAATACTCTTCATTAGCAATAAGCAAGCCACATATAATGCCTCACCCCGCCTGTGAAAAGGTTGGTTGAATCAAAACAATGGGTGTCAAGTGCATTGATTGACAAACTATAAATATTACAGAAATCAAAACTACAACAAGAGATGCAATATTCAGATAGATGCGTTGAAAAAACAGAGAAACGCATAAAATTGACAGGTTTTTGGTGAAACAACGCGACGAACTGACTACCACGAACCGGAAGCGCGATCAAGCGTACAGCAGAAGTTAAGCAAATATGAAAATAAAACTAAAACTTGTTTTTCGACTTTTCCATATATACATAATATTATATATGTATAATTATAATATACATTTGCTTTTGAAATATTTGTTCTTTTGAAAATTTTTTTTTTATAAATTTGAATTTTTTTATTTAATTGAATATGAAATTTAAATTTAATTTTTATATTCTGTGAATTTAGATTTTTCTTAATTTCAATACATTTCTCAAATATGAGTATATTATATACATACTAGGGCTGTTAAAATTATTCGAATAACTCAAAAACCAATTATTCAAAGATCCAGTTTATAACCGTTCGTACAAATATTAACCAAATAGTAATGTTGGTCGTAACATTCGAATAGTTGTTCTTCTGCGACTATTCGAAAAGTTGATCTGCTGCGAGTATTTGAATAAATAAAAATTGTTTGAAATCCAAGCAGCCTTTGATTTTTGCCTTTTTTGTTTTTTTCTCGTGCTGAAGACATATTCAAATAGTCAACAACGAACAGTTAATCGAACAGTCGACAGCTTACGACTGTCTGGATAGTGAAAACCGAGAATTATTATTCGAATAATGTACCATCCGGTTAATCTGGTTAGTCGATTAGTCGAATACCAAGAGCTCTAATACATACATATGTATATGCTTGTCTAATATTACAATTTTTAAATAAAAAAATTAAATTTTAATTATTTCTTTAATTTTTTGAATATCATTTTTATTTTCTTGAATTTTTTTGATTTAAATTTTTTTTTTAAATACAAATGTTATATTTTGCAAATTGCAAATAAAACTCATATTTATTAATATATTCTTGTACATGTTGTTCCGCAAAAACTTACACATATCACAAATTTATTCTCTTCAGTGTTAACTCACAATATTTATTTTAATATACATGTAGTTGTTATTATTGTTGTTGAATCTAAAGAACAAGTTAATTTAGTTTGATCGGTCACGTTCGGACACACATACACACTTAGATTTCTAGATACAGAGATGGCCTACGTTAGAAAAGCACACAATAGAAAAGCAACAAAAACACACATTAAGAATAAAAATAACAACAACAATGACAACAAAAGCGGAAGGAAGACATATATAATAAAATGTTAACCGTTATGTATGTTTTACTGGCGGTTAAGAGATATGCTCCGTTAGCGTTTGCACATTTACACACATACATGTGCATACGACAATATATATATGTATACGTATATACATACATACGTATATACATACAACATATGTATAATTAATGTTATCGAAGCATTTTGTTAGCGGGTTTTTTATTATTGCAGCCAAGATAAAGCTTCCCACAATTAGTGACATTGAGTATGATAGCATTTGATGGTGAATGGGCTAATAAAAAATATAGGTTAAGTAAAAATAAACGGCACTAAAAAATTGAGTATTATAGAACATGATATTTAATTAAAAGCCTTCTGAGCTTTTATAAGTTATGTCTATTCTCATGTGTCTTAGATTAAATTAATTATTTAATTAATATTTGTATTCAAATACAATTATTTCAGCATTTGGATTTATGTACGTATATTATATTTTAAGATTCTATTTGATTCCTATAAAAGGTACTCCAGCCGTAGAGACATTATAGAGCTTTCACTTGCCTCATTATTAAGGCTTGGAGAAAGATGAATTATTATTAACATTTTAAATTTACTTGGTAAAAGAATTTTATGGTTTCGAAATGTTTTTTAAGTATTAAGATTAATATGAATTAACGAAAATGTAACACCCAGTATGTGATATAAAAAAAAATTCCGATACTGGAAACTTCCAAACATGTATTTGATGTTAATTTGGGATCACAATACTGAGCAGAAATGTTAGAATGAACCGAAAAAACCGACTTTAAATTATTTAAAAAAAAAATAAAGAAATATTAAAATAAATTATTTATATGAATTATAGTATTTTTCATAATTTCAATAAACTTGAGCACCCCCAACACATACATATATGTAGTACTCAACGAAAACCAACAACACCCATCAAATACGTGTGTTCAAAAATAAATATATATGAATATTTGTCAGCCACAAGTAAGGAATTGACATTGCTTAGAGTCAAGTCATAACCTCTTTACTTACATAGATGGCATCGAACGGCGTCAAATATTATATTATATTTAAGGGCATTAATGGCATGAGCAGCAGCAACAGCAGCTAAGGCCTTAAAAGGCTATTGACAATAGTGGTAGTGTCAAAGCGAGTTTGTTTACATAATTAGATTGGTGTATGGCTGTGACAGCAATTAATCACAATTACGAAACTAATATTAAGTTGTCCATTTACACATTTTTTTACCCGTCATGCAAACTTTATTTATATTGTAAACACTATTAGCTTGTTTAGCTCTGCTATCTTATGATTTATAAATATCCGATAGTATATGGGGAGAGCAGAAACAAAGCAAGTGTCCATAGATTATCCAGATACCTTATGTAGGTAGTACATCCCATTTGAATTGATTTTAGTAATCTCCTTCATTTCGATCGATTCGTTGCTATCTAAATTTTGCTGAATGAAATATAACAAATATGAATGTGGTGAATTTATTAAGTGCATGACAATAAAAACTGATGATCTCATAAACTTATTAAAACCAAAATTTTTCAGAAAATATTTGTGTATCATAAATTATGTGTCCAATCACGTTATCAGAAACTATTAGACTGATTTTTTATACCCTGAACAGTTGGAGTCTTATAAGGCATGTATATAAATCTGTCTGTATATACGCGAACTAGTTCCTCAGTTTTTGAGATATCGATCTGAAATTTTGCACACGTTCTTTTATCTTCAAGAGGCCGCTTATTTGTTAGAATCGCCTATATCGGATCACTATATGATATAGCAGCCATACAAACTGATCGATAAAAACAGGTTCCTGTATTGAAAACTTTTTTATTTAACAAGATATTTTCACGAAATTTGGCATAGATAACTATCCAAGGCAAATTAGGTAACTATTCCGAACATATTGTATTGATCGGAACACTATAACAAATATGCAATACAAACTGTTCGATCAAAAACAAGTCCTTGTATGGATAATTTTTTTATTTGACAAATTATCTGACCGAAATTTGGCGGAGATTATTGCCTAAAACAGCCCTAGCAATCTAGAAATATTTATACGTATTTCTGTAAATGATATCATAGTTGCGGTGCTGTTGATGTTAATGTTTTTTCTTTGTAAATCAGTTTAGCACTTTTACTTAATTTTACATAATAAAACATACATAAATCGCTTCGCAGTCTTGAACTGTTAATGCCTACAAATTAATATTATTATTAAATACGCCTTTTATCTTAAAATAAGTTCTGATATTTTTTGTTAAGAATATGAAAATTAAGACATACTTGTATTTATAAATGCCCTTAAAACGTGCAAAGTCCCTGAGAGGCAATTGAAAGTCGTTGATAAAATCGCTTCAGCATGAGCACTCGTATTTACTTAAATGCCGCGAGTATTTATTGACATACCTAAATATATACACATACATACATACTTGTATATAGATAAACACACTAACGCCAGCAAGCAGGTAACTATGTCGTAATTTTTTTTTTATATTTCGCTGTAATGCAAATATTTCGGCGCCTAAACCACGTTTTGTTATCTCTTTGGTATTTTACGTTTTTATATTTTTATTTTTTGTATATTATTCTGTAACATTGAAGCCAGCGATTTTCTAGTCAGTAAATCACGCCAAACATACCGACTTACATAGATACTTACACGCACATACCCAAACAGTCAGGTGGTAGTGAACTTTTACTGCTCTCGGCTTTGAGTGTTTGTTGTTGTTATTCCAAATTTTTATAATTTAATTGTTCGCTCCAAAAGCAGCGAGCTAAGTGAACTTGACATCTATACTAGCTTTTCTTTCGAAATAAGTTATTATTAAAGTGCCGCAACGAAAATTCAAATTCCACAATCATACTTATTTAAACAGCTGTAAGCAGGCCGACATACATACATAGGTAAACTCTATATCTCACATATATATGTATATATTCTTTTTGAAATAAATGTTTGTCTGTAAGTATAATATTAAGGCGAGCGTCGTTGCACATGTAATGCTCTTGTAAATGCGTCTGCTCAATTAGCTTGTCTGTTTCTTATTCGGTTATCTTCATACATAAATACCTTAAATGCTTGTACTTGTACCCGAAAAGTCACCAGACCAGATAAGTGAAGGCTGGGATCGCAAGTTTAAGATCTTGTAAGCGATCTTCAACTTTAGCACACTAAAATTTATGAACAAAGTATTTACATTTACATACAGATTACTTACAATTTAAAAATAAATTTTTTTTGGCGAGAATACGTGCTTTGAAGGGTAAAAGTTGAGAGGTTAAGGCTTTTTAAAGCAAAAATTTTGAAATTAATATTTTTTTGTATAAATGTTGTCAAAAATATAAACAAATAAAACTTCTCAAACCTTCATATTTAATTATACCAAATTGCCAACCTAAACTGACAAATATAATTTTATTTCTTTAATGTCATAATGCTTCAGAAGAATGAAAGCATTTTAAAATAGCTCAGCCAAAATACAAACTTGTGATCCTTCACGCATTTCATTTACTCAGCTAAATCTTACTACTATTTATAGACATGTAAACAATATACAGCGTCTTCCAATAGTAATTACGTGGCACGTGGCGGCCATGTTTCTTAACGGATTTGTGTAAAATTTGGTCAGTGTGTTCAGTAAGGTTTGCCATTTCATTATGTCACATTTCGCTTTAACACAACGCTTGAAAATTGTCCAAAATTTTTACGCAAATTCTCGTTCACAGAAGAATTCACACATTCACGTAAATCGAAAAATCATTCTTTAATGAGGCCCATTTCTGTCTTCGTCAACAAACAAAATTGTCACTATTGGGGTGAGTTAAACCCTTGTGTTGTTCAGGAAACGCCATTGCATACCCAAAAATTGACCATTTAGTGCCGGTTGTGGTATGGCGACATCATCGAACCTTATTTCTTTCGAAATGTTGGACGACTTTTTTTACCGGAATTGAATGAAATCGATGCGGACGATCTCTATTTTCAACAAGACGATGCGCTGTCTCATGCTTCACGTCTAAACATGGACACATTGCGTGCTAAGTTCGGCGACTCGTTAATTACGAGAAATGGCCCAGCAACGGTCAAGGAGCTCGAAGACAACATTTAGCGTACTATAGGCGAAATGCTGTACTGGGTCATCAAAAATTGGCGTAAACGGGAGAAATGCAACCGGTGTCAAGGTTTTCCTTGGCCGAATTTTTGTTCAAATCATAAATGGTATAAAACTATCTGCATGACAAAAAAAAAAAACAGAACCCATTTTGACCAAATTTGAGTGTTTAATTTCATTTTAACATCATATCGTTCTTGTCGGTAGACCCAGTTACTTGAAAAGCGATTTGGAAATGACGTGAACAGTGGCTTATTATTATTTTTATTTTGTTTACATAAAAAACCATTTATAAATTATTGTCATTGTTTGACTTTTCAATTCTTTTCGTTGTTGTTTTTAATGAGCGGCGAGTTCACACGCAACTCACAACTACATGTCACATTCCACAACTTCAATTAATCGATGGAATGTGCAACTACGCGTTAATTGCCACCAAGGGTCATGCCAAATAACATATTTAACGCAATACAAATTTTATTTTATCTGTAAAAGAAAAAAATGTGAGCACAATAAAAAGCAAACAAAGTTTTTCGAATTAAAAATTTCTGCTTATCTAAGATATTATTATCGAATTTTGAGTCATTTGTGAGGCTTTGTTGGCTTAAGTGCCCGAAAAGAAACAAACAAAGAGACATATCGTGTGTATATGTGTGAGTATGTGTATGTGTGAATGGGAGTGTATGTATGTGTGTGCAACTAAATTAGCCAATCTAATAAGTTGTCAAACCGAAACTAAATTTTTTCTCATTGAGGTAGGCAATCAGGTTTTCTTTTAGGTGCAGATATACATATATCAACACCGATTCATTTGTTTTTATAGTTGTCTATACTCTTAAATATACACACGATAGTGTGCAAACAATTGCGCTCGCGTACTTACAAATCTGCCACAAAAAATATTTCGGTAAATCGCTAAAAGCGATGATATCTCTCTCCTTGGGTGCAACTTCAGCCACTTAGCGGCAAGTTTACTTAAATGTGTAAGTACGAGTACACGATGACATTGTAATGCTTATCATTTAGTTATGAAATTTCTATGACTTTTTTCATTAAAAGAATATATTTTTATCGGCATTTCGAAATTGCCGACGCTTAAATAAACAACTCGTTTACAAAGATAAAAGAGAAGTTGCAACATTTACCGTGTTGGCTAATGATTTAATGGACTCAGTAAGACATCTAATGTAATAGGGTGCCAGCTAACGATTAACGGACCTTTAATAGGAAAATATCGAGAAGCATAAATATGTATGTACCTGTGTTGTAACTATTTGTTATTGTAATAGTGTTAAGTTGATAAGACAATTGCAAGCGTTTTGTCATACATACAAATTGATATCGATGTTAGCTTGTAATGGACTTTAATTGACTTAGGAAAACTTTCCATTTCAATAGATATCCATATATATGCATACATATACACTACTGATGTTGCAGTTGATTATCTTTACTTTGTGTATCTGAACGGCTTATGTATCCTGAGTGTTAATTGGTGACTGTTATAAAAAATTTGCTTTCCGCATTTTTCTCGCTTATAACCTCCGTTTTTTAACATGGCTTATGTGAGTCTGATTAATGCGAATCACTCAATCACTCTTTCAAAAGTCAGTTTTCGTTTTGTATATATGAAAATCACTTGATCTTCACAATCGATTTTGGCAGTCACTCAATCAATTCGCAGAATATAGATTCGACCGACCAACTTAAAAAAATGTTAGTGTGATCATCTATCAGCAGATAATAGTGAAACCTCCAAATATATTTCTAGTGTAAAAAGGTTTCAAAATTATAAGAAATCCATAATATTGTGGGAATATTGTTGAGTAATAAATAAAGTTGGAGGACAAGTTCGGCCAAATAGTTACCAGAGGTGTAAGCACCAAAAGAGTCTGTCTCTGAAAAAGTCACACTATGCCGATAGTCGGAGATATACTAATATAACATAGGCAGAAAGTACCATACAAGAAATTGAATTCTCATATAAGCACAATCCTCGATTTTTACTCGAGGGCAGAACTGAAGATCAGAACTGATCAAAGAAGGCTTTCCGGTTAAGTATACACGGTGCTAGAGTGAAACGTTTGTCTACTAATGTTTGATTTAGACGTTTCAGCGATTTATACTATTTAAAAGGAAATATTTATAGACTATGTATACCTTCGAGAATATTTCGGAAAAAACTTATTAACTTTTGATATTCATTAACTTTTCGAGTTTTCGCTCTGCCTTTGAAGATCATTTTAGCGATTGACACTTCACCATAACTTTCCTCTTATGAATTCAATATCATTATTCTCCATGTCGCTCAACGTGTTTTACATGATATTAATGACATTTCAGTGTTGCGAAATTATGTTTTTTGTTTTCATTTTGAAGAATATGTTTTCAGCCGCTAGTTCATAAACCACAAATCTCAATAACAAAAAAAACTGAAAGAAATTATTATACAGACCTCCTCCATGCATTTTTACCATAGAAATTCAGCAAACGCTTTCTGCTTGTTAGCTAAGCTTGTTACGCCTGCTTTATAAGCTGCATACTTTGTATTTATTTGCTTTGTCTTCAACGCAAGGCATTTGCAACAGCCGCAGCAGCCAACAGCCAAGCGACTTGTTTGTCAGGCGATTTTCCTTTTAGTAACTATTTGTACAACTCACCATATGTGGCGTGAAAAACCTGAGTGAAATTCCTTTTTGCGCGTGCGCACGCATCAGACGACACAGCAGACGGCCAGACAGGCGGCGGAGGCGCACAACGCAGATACGAGTGTGTTTGTGTACGCACACGAGCGCTTTTGACTACATTGTTGGGCGACAGCAAAAGCGGGAAGTCGGCCTAGCCAAAAGCAGCGACCAGAATTGGCAAATAACGCACGACACCAACGTGTAAGTGCCGAACGAGGCGGATATGGTGGCGATGCTGTCTAAGACCAAACGGTGGAAAACAAACCTAAACGAGGCTAATAGCGTTTCAAAGGCGGCATGGGCGGTACGCATTTATGCCGACGTATAAATTTCTCATACATATGCATGTAGTACAACGCCCCATATGTTCATGTAGAAACCCTTTTTATATCTTCTAGTTAACTTACTACCATTTTAATCAAAAAGGGCATTACTTTAAATGGCACTTGGAAATTATGGCATTTATTTGCGATTGCATGTATGAGCATACTGGACACCCAGTTGGAAAGCTCGTCAGTTTGTACCAAATTGGTGGACAATATGATATGTTTTTGGGGGCATGTGAAGGACTCGATTTTAATGACAACCGCAGAGTGATCAGCCTATAATTACATTAATGTTTGTTAAAGGCATTTAATTCGTGGAAGTATTCCCGTACTATCCTGTATAATACACTGCTGCGACCGGTAGGTGGCGCTGCAATCGATGTACCTCTTTTATGAGCCGTATTTATAAGTAATACGATTTTTATTATTTCCAAAAACTGCTTTATTATTCCTCAACATTAATAATGTTCTCATAAACTTAATATCAACTCTTATTTCAAATCTGAGAGCGCTTCCGATGGCTACTTTTTGGTTTATTCTAGAGCTCTCCCTTATAGTTGCCATTAGAGATAACTTCAATTTTGTACATTTTGTACAAAGGAAAAAAGTGAAGATGGTAGCTGAATGTGTTAAATATGATGGCTGAGATATGATTAAGGAGCTGTTTTGGATTTCTTTTAAACTACGTCTCAAAAATTTAAGAAAGTGGTAAGATAAACTTTGGCGTTTTATGGAGCTTTACGTGTTTTTTCAATACGGGCTCTCCGGTACTCTATCGTACCTCCTTTATGTTTTGCGTTCGACGTGATAACCAGAGGCTTTATGCTATTAATGATCTTTTTGTGATAATCAGGAAGATTCCGAAAGAATATGGCAAAATCTACCTGTTCCTGGGTATTGGACCAAACTAATTTTTTTCGGGAAATTATTGAATCCAACAATAATCCTTCGAGACCAATTTGAATTTATATAAGGATTGCCATAACCTCGAAAATGCAATAGATCAAAACGAGGCAAGTTTCAAAAGTCCTGTTATGAAGGTATTTCGGATTATGGAGACTCGGCAACCTTGTAAACGAATGAAAATTGTACTTTTCTCTACACTGACGCCAGAGCCCAACACACGAACAAAATCCCTTTAGTTTTTATACAACACAGCTTCGTTTCGCTTGTCAAAGAAGTCTAAATGCGATTTTAATAGATT